AGGTCCCAAGTTTGAGTCTGAAAGAGGCTAGAAGAAGAGTGAACTTTTCTTTGTTTTTTTTTTTGCTATGTGAAATTACCAACCTACCCTTAGTTCCATTAGATTTTTTTAAAACTCTTTCTTCCTTCTTTCTCGACTATTCTGGAGCAGAGCGAGATCTGGGAAGGACTAACATTTTGCTCTACCTCTCATTGATCACTATCTTCTCCTCCTCAACCGAAGCTAGCACCATTGTTCGCGTGGGCAGTCGTTGACGTTATGCTCATCCGTTCACCTCAACTGTGATTTCTTTCATGAGTTGCTGCTGTTTCATCCACCTCTGTCACTGATTCAAGTATGAAAAACCCTCTTTCTTTTATCTTGTTGTTCGTGTGTGTACAAATGGTCTGGGTGAGCTAAGATTTTCTTCCTTTTGGTTTGTTTCAGTTACCGTAAGGTTACTCTTCTCCTTCATTCATGGCAACAACCCTTCTTCTTTACTGTTCAGAATTGTTCTCCTTCCTCTGTCCGTGCGTGTTGATTCATTTAAGGTTAGAAGCTTCAATCTCTTCCTTCTCTTTGTAAATCCGTGCTGGGATGGTATTAAGGAGATTATAAATTTTTGTGGTCTTGCTACCGTGCTAAAAATGGAAGAAGAAAGAAATTCAATGGAGCTTGGAAAATATATATATCTTGAGGCCTAACAATGATCTACATATGGTTCAAAATATCCAAACTAAGTTGAATTATTGAGTTGGTTGATCTAGAATAATTGTTATAATGGATTTAAAAGAGAAAGAGCTTAAGTGTGAAACTTGAAATTTGTGCCTATGAAATGGTTGTTACAATGGTTGTAAGAGGAATTAAACTTGATTTTTAGTGTATGAAATTTTGTTGGTTCTTAGGATTAGAATGGATATTGGTATTATAAGATGTATGGAAGCTGAAGTTTGAAAGGAAAGAGTAGTCTTAGCTTGGTAAAATATAACTATAAGTGTTAGAAAGGGTATCTAGTAGAAGAAATATGAATATGAAAGATATGAAATTATGAATGAATTTATAGGACATGTAGAAGAAGAGGATCCTGATAGAAATTGAAGAAAATATATATATATATATATATATTGGAGATTTGAAACTGCAACAGGTAAATGAATAGTATTTCCTTTAATTTATTTTATTGTCATAGACTTTTATTGAACCATTTTATTTTTATGAATTACATTAATTTTAAAAATTATGGAATATTGGTAAAGGACAAATGAATTATGATATGTGAATTTATTTATTCTCAAAAAGTGAATTCCTAAGGTTGATGAAAGCACTCTTGTATGGTTGTTAAGTTTTGAAATGTATTGACTACTCAAGTACTGTAAGTTTGGCATAATAGCTATAAAGTATAGTTTTCACAAAATTTGAGATCTGAAAAAACTCATGCAAGTTTGGCATTGAGAATGAAAATTTTATTATAGCAATAATTATTTTTCTTGCATGTTTGAAACATAGTTTTAAGAGGACTATAAACAAAACACTGCTGCTAACAGCAATTTCATTAGCCTGTAGAGTGCTGTGGTTAAACATTAGCTAGTTTGTTTCGTGAGTTTTGCTCTCACATTTGGTATTCGTGGGCTTTATACTCTCGTTTGATTCTGTAACCTAAGCCGCATTTAGTTATTTACTCTCGTGGACTGGGTGTCCATGTTTGTTTTCGTGGCATAAGTCGCATTTGGTTATTTACCCTCATGGATTGTGTATTCATGTTTGTAACCTGTTCTGTTGACTTCTCAAATTTTTAAATGTTGATTAATGTGTTTTCAAAATTTACATGATTTTGGCTAGCAATTTTACTACTTTGATGTTATATGTGAATAAATTGTTTTCTTTAAGCATGATAACATAAATCGTTTTCAACTTACTCATATTTTACAATTATGGTTATGACTTACAGGTTTATAAAATTTTGAGAAATTATTTTAATTAGTTGACACCATTGTTAGAGTTTATTGATTTTAACTTTTAAGAATTTCACCATGGGAATGCTATTCATTGAAAAACTTATTTTGGTCTCAGATTTGTTAGCTGACGCTGATCCCCCTTGACCTTTGAAGGGTAAACTAGCTACAGTGAGTGGAAATTTTTTGATTGGTACTGTTACTTTTAATGTAAATATATAATTGTATGTCTTTTTTATTTAAAGAAAAGATTAGATGCTCTACATAGATTGTTGATAGACTTTATTTTGGCTTGTATATTAGTTGCTGGTTGGAAGGAACTAAACTCCTAATTTATACTGTTGTCTGTAAAAAATTTTGTTATAGAATTTTCGGGAGATCCTAGTTACAGGGAAGGTTCCGCCAAAATTTTTACAAAAATATTGACACTTTCTTATAATAATGAGTTTAAAGGAATTATTTCAATTCTCATGTTATTTGATTATTTTTTCTTTTCTTTTGTAAAATGGAATAAATATTCATTCGAGGGCTTACCGGAATGTGTAAGTAGTTCACATCCGTGCCGGTCACCATCTATTTATGGGGCATGACACCCAAACTCAAAGGAGTTTAACTCAAATACTCAAATTTTGTATTAATAAAATAAAATTAACTTTCACTTTAGATTTAACTTAGCACTCACAAAACCTCTTCCAAACTCTTAGTTTGCACATTTTGCACTCTTAAATGAATTTTTAATGTTCTAATAACCGTTTGTTTTGAATATTTTAAAATAATAGGAAAAAATAAACACAAGAGATTACTTTATATATTTTCATTCATACTCTTGCAATGTTTGGCCTCACTTTAATAATGATAGAGAAAAAGTGTGTTGTAGTGTTAGATAGCTTAAAATGGAAATTGAAAGCATACTAAAAAAAATTTGTACTCTCTAATTTTTTTTAGATAAAATTGAAATTGACTAAAAATAAAATAAATTATAATTTAATATTTCAGATATTTAAGCTAGCTCAAAAGCTTAAGGTATTAGGTTTGAGCTTGGATATATAAACTTTTTTATATATTCATATATTTTAAGCGCAATTTGAATATGTTTAGTTCAATTTGAACCTGACCCAAATAAATCTCCCCCATACCCAAAAAAAAAAAAACTATCGTCTCTAATTAATCTGGGCACCTATTGAACTCTCTGAGTTCGATGTGAAGCAGATTCAGGATATCGAGTACTCTGCAAAAAACATAAAACAAAAAGAGGATGAAAGCCCTCAAACAAGTTATTATTACTATTTTTTATTTTTTACACATGATTGTACTGAAATTGGTCTAACACAGACTGATTTCAGTATAATGTGTTTAAGAAGAGAAATTTGGAACTCGGTCGAGCAGAAGCCAACTTCTTCTTTTGGGAAATATATATATATATATATATATATATATTGGTATAGTACTATAAGTAGGATATATAAATTTTGCAATTTTGTACCCCTATTCTTGATATTTTACACTTTTAGAGTAAATAAAAATATTTAGATTCAATAACTTGTTAGATATAATATTTTAATGATTGATATAAAACATGAAGAGTATATTTACTTAAAAAACTATGTCAATTGACTCAAAATAAATTTTGAAAAAGAAAAATAATTATCAATGTACTTATATTATTACAATTTTAGTTCTAGAGTAATCATTATTTTTTAATCATTAAATTATTATTTTAAAAATTAGCAAATTTTAAATTAAATTATCTTACATATCTGACTCCGCCCCTCAATGTTGCATGCCTTGTATCAGAGATGAAAGTATGAAACAAGAATGCGAATCAGCTCATATACATTAATATGGACTTTAATTTAGGTTAACATAAAATTTGTTGCAAACCTCGTGTTATATTAAGACCAAATTATATTACAAAAAAATGGTACATATTTCCTTTCTAAACCTTATAGACTTCGTTATTGGATATAAATTTAATCGCTGGACTTGATCTTGAGTTTGGCAAATTATGGTGGAAAAAGATATGTTTGTTTTAAGATAACAGAATTTTAACAAGAATATAAAAAATATGCTTAAATTTTATATTATTTATATTCATACTTTAAAAGGGGTGTATAGTGTGTGTGTGTGTGTTAAGAGTTCATAAAATCAAGATACTTATATAAGACACAAGAACAACCAGCGAAGATAGAATAAAAGCTATGCAAATAACAAAAAACATTAAAAGCTATACAATAATATCAGGAAAGATTTAGATACTTAATCTTATATGCTTAATCTACTTTTATCAAATCAAATCAAGATAAATGCATTTTAATGTATTAATAATATTAAAGACAAAAGTCTATCATAGAATAAATAATATTTAAGCACATTCTTGATTCAATTAGAAACAATTATCTTTAGTATATAAGGATATAAGTATACAAAATAAAAAGAGATATTAGTGTATAAGTTTTTCTATCAAATATTATTCATATTTATCTCAAATTCCAGCTAGAATGATAGATCAATCCTCAATAAAATCTTTGACTCAAAAAAATCCCCAAGAAAATAATCCTTTTTCAATTTGAAATCGTCTTGTTATTAAGTAAATAAATAAATTCTCTATTATTAAGAAAAAAAATATCCTAAGAAAATTTAAATATTTGCCTTACCTGAATCCTTTTAGGATACCTCCACGCCACCTCACCAAGATTTGCTGAACATTCATCAAAAAGTTGTGACATCTCGTACTACTTAGGACAAATAATTAAATGGTAAAATTAATATTGTTATTGATAAGGAATCTCTAATCATTCTATTAACAGATTAACTCACATTAAATTTAAATATCAAAAGGATAAGGATAATCGTAAACTGATTATCTAAAATTGGACTAAAAAAAACCAAAAAGAAAGAAACAGACTACCAATTTTTTTAAAAAAGAAACAAATATAAACAAAGTCGGATAAGTGTACGTTTCTTCTTCTATATAAACTCTTCAGTCTCTGCATTATTATTTTTATACTTACTTTCTTCTCTTCTTCGTTCGTTCTCTGTTCTCTTCAAGTCAATATGGCTTCTGGGAAAATGTTCTTTTCTCTACTCTGTTTTCTCAGTCTCTTTGCTCTTCTCACTAGTGCTGTTAATGTTTCTCACGATGGAAGAGCTTTCATTATTGATGGCCAACGTAGGATTCTTATTTCTGGTTCAATTCACTATCCGAGGAGCACTCCTGAGGTACATATAATCGTCTCTGAAATTTCCATCTGAAACGATACAATACAAACATAACCGTATTTGATATGCATTCGATACAACGCGTGTAACTTTTGTATTACGATTTTTTTCAACAATTTTTTTTTATTCTCTTCAAAACTTGAAAAAAAGACCTTAATATTTTTTATATTACTTCTGATTTAAAACTCAATATGCACTTATACCTATTAACAAAAAATGTTGAAAACTTATACATGCACCCTATTCTAAAATTTTGAAAATTGTCGTATCATGTATCATATCCGATACACTATCCATATCGATTCTAACAATTTGTATCATTATTATCTATTTCTCATTAAATAATTAGTATGTTTGCTTATATTATTAAAATGAGTTTTTTTATACGTGTTTGTATTGTAGATGTGGCCCGATTTGATTCAAAAAGCCAAAGAAGGAGGGCTCAATACGATTGAGACATATGTGTTTTGGAATGCTCATGAACCAGTTCGTCGTCAGTATGATTTTTCTGAGAATAACGATCTCATCAGATTTCTCAAGACCGTCGATCAGGCTGGACTTTACGCTATTCTTCGTATTGGTCCTTATGTTTGCGCTGAATGGAACTACGGGTATGTTTAATTATCTAACTCATAAGTAATTTGCCGTTTTTTCCTTTATTATTTTCAGTTTCAATGTTATAATTCTTAATTGTTTATTTTGGGACTGTCAATTTTTTAGGGGTTTCCCTGTGTGGTTGCATAATTTACCTGGTATTGAGATGAGGACGGCAAATAAAGTGTTCATGGTAAAATTAATTATTCTTCTTTTTTCTTTTAACTTTATATGATTTTTTATATATCACCATAACAAAATTAATCATACATTGTTTTTATTTGGTTTCACAGAATGAGATGCAAAATTTCACTACTTTGATCGTAAATAAGATCACAGAAGAGAAACTTCTTGCTTCTCAAGGGGGTCCCATAATTATCGCGCAGGTACAATGTAGTTTATGAGTTGATTTTTTAAAAAAAAATTTACAAAATTATAATTCCAATATAATTTGTTCAATTATTTTTTCTCTCATTAACAGATAGAAAATGAGTTTGGGAATGTGATGGATCCTTATGGAGATGCTGGAAAGGTGTACTTAGATTGGTGTGCTGCAATGGCAGAGTCTTACGACATTGGAATTCCATGGATCATGTGCCAACAAAGCGATGCTCCTCAACCAATGGTAAACTGAATGAATTAATTAATTCAAATGTATACATTTTTCCCCAAATTTTCATATTAATGATCCTTTTCTAATCATATTTTAAATTGATTTCCTTTAACAGATCAACACGTGTAATGGTTATTACTGTGACCAGTTCACACCCAACAATCCCAACAGTCCTAAGGTTTGGACTGAGAATTGGGTAGGATGGTAAGTTCAAAATCAGTTTGTTTTCTTTATTTTTTGTTGACTAGTGATTAATTATTTATATTTTTCATAATTACAATTTCCATGGTGGTAATTAAAGGTTCAAAAGCTGGGGTGGCCAAGATCCTCATAGAACAGCTGAAGATGTTGCCTATGGTGTGGCTAGATTCTACCAAACTGGTGGAACCTTACAAAACTACTACATGGTAAATTGCATTTACATTTAAATGTATCAAAACAAATTTTATATCACCTCTAAGATTTTGACCCATTAAATATTGTGTTTGTTACAGTATCATGGTGGAACCAACTTTGGTAGAACTGCTGGTGGTCCATACATTACAACCTCGTATGACTACGATGCTCCTCTTGATGAATTTGGTACGAACATTACATCAATTTAATTTTTTTTTCCCGGTTCAATATAACTTTCAATGAATGTGATACAATTAATCTGACTTTTTGATTCGAATATTTGCAGGAAACATTGCTCAACCAAAATGGGGCCATCTCAAGAAACTTCACGAAGTTTTGAAATCAATTGAGAAAAACCTTGTATATGGCAATGTCACTGAAATTGATCTTGGCAATTATGTCAAGGTAATAAATAAATTTAGAATTATATATGTATATCCTCATTGTAGTACGGTTAATCATGTTTGATGTTGAAAATGTTGTAGGCCACTGTGTATGCTACAAATGGATCTTCAAGTGTGTTCTTGAGCAATAGCAACATTACTGCTGATGCAACTTTCACATTTAATGGAAAGCAATACACTGTTCCTGCTTGGTCTGTTAGCATTCTTCCAGATGGTGAAACTGAAGAGTATAACACCGCAAAAGTGAGATTTTTTTTTTTTAATGAAATTCGAATTTAATTTATCTCAGGTTATCCACGGACCTAACCCGCGATAAACTTGGGTCAACCAATAGAGACTATTGTTCAATCAGACCCAAACAAGGGTTCAAATTAATGAACTAGATTGTTGGATCGGGCAAAAAACCAAACCCAAGTAAACCCTAATTTTGCCTTATATGAATGTGTCTTATCGACAATGAATCTAATATGTATGTGTTTGTGGTTAATTAGATTAATGTTCAAACCTCTGTGAATGAACATTGGCCAAATGAAGCCGAGAAGCAACCTGAATCATTGAAGTGGTTTTGGAGGCCTGAGAATATTCATGCTGCTCTTAAAGGCAAATCTCATTCTTCTGCCAAAAAGCTCATTGATCAAAAGGAAGTCACTAATGATGTTAGTGACTATCTTTGGTACATCAGTAGGTAGTTAATCATACTCACTTGATCACTCTTTCTTTCTCTTGATTTAATCTCTCTTTATTGTTCCAAGCGCGAATGTCTAACAATTTTTTTCCTTCTTTGAAAAAGCCTTCATCTTGACAAAGATGATCCTGTTTGGAGCAATGATATGTCTCTAAGAGTTAACACAAGTGGCGAAGTAATTCATGCATATCTCAATGGACACCATATTGGTAAGAATTAAAGAACATTATCGTATGCTACTTTATTTACTCATAAATTAAATATAATCATTTTAATTATTAACATCATATGTGTATCTTTGTTGATGGATATAGGAACCCATTGGAATGCATATGGCATTCTTAATGACAAGGTTGAATTTAAGATTAAGTTGAAACGTGGAAACAATGTCATCAGTTTGCTTAGTGTCACTACTGGGCTACAGGTATCATCATATTATGTTTATGCAAGTTTGTATATTGAACCAATTATATGTTTCATTGATGTATAATAGCATAACTCTTTTGCTTGAACAGAATTATGGGTCATTTTTTGACACATGGCATACCGGTCTAGTTGGACCGATTCAGGTGATTGGAAGAAAGGGGGACGAGACAATCATCAAGGATTTGTCTTCTCACAAGTGGCATTATAGAATTGGGTTGGATGGTTGGGATAAAAAGTTCTTTAGTGGAGAGTCATTTTCTAATACTAAATGGGCATCAGACCAATTACCCTCAAACAAAAGCTTCACTTGGTATAAGGTATACTTGATAATTTTAAGTTTGTTATTCTTTTGCTATACCCAATAATCCAAATATACAGAAGCTGACTTATCTATAATGTTTTAATTAATTAAATATGTTAGACCACATTCAAAGCTCCTCTTGGAAATGACCCAGTGGTGGTGGATTTGGAAGGACTTGGAAAAGGGTTTGCTTGGGTTAATGGTCATAACATTGGTCGCTACTGGCCTGCCTACTTGGCTGCTGAAGATGGTTGCAGTACTGATCCTTGTGACTATCGTGGTGAATATTCTGCCACAAAATGTATTTACAACTGTGGAAAGCCTACACAAAAATGGTTAGTTAATTAAATATTTTTTCCTTTTAAATATATTTAAATTCCTTACCGTCCATATCTAATTTGAACAATCCGTATCATATTTTACCTAATTAAATATATTTCTTTTAGGTATCATGTCCCTCGATCGTTCCTTAGAGACGGTGACAATACCTTGGTCTTGTTGGAAGAGATGGGTGGAAATCCATCATATGTGAATTTTCGAACGGTTAGTGTTGGAACTGCTTGTGGAAATGCCTATGAGAGCCACACATTGGAACTATCTTGCCAGAGTCGTCCAATTTCTGCCATTAAATTTGCCAGTTTTGGAAATCCTCAAGGCACATGTGGTTCATTCTATAAAGGAACTTGTGAAAGCAACAATGACTCCTTGGCAATTATAGAAAAAGTAATCTCTTTATTTGACGCAAATTCTATATTACATATTTTATGCATTCTTAAGATACATTCAGTGATTTCATTGACTAATTAATTAATCTTAATTTTCTTTAAATTTTGCAGATGTGTGTGGGCAAGGAGACATGCTCTATTGATATATCAGAGAAGACATTTGGGTCAACAAATTGTGGAAATATTACTAAGAGGCTTGCGGTGGAGGCAGTTTGCTAGAAAGTCTAGTTTATTCATAGAAAAATTTAGGCTCTGCTTATCAATTATGTTTTAGTAGTAATTTTTAGGTTAGTTTTTATTATTATTTGAATTTCCTTTTTTTTTTGTTTTTTTAAAAGATTGATACATCGATCCCAATTAATCTTTTGAGACTTTTTTAAATAATATAACAGTTATACTAGTATTATATTTATATTTAATTCTCTCTCTAATGTGGGTATATAATTTGTTGTTATGATAATTATTTTCCAAGAGAAAGCAACGAAAATATTCTCAAACTATATATGATTCCACATCAAGAAATTGTCTGCTCAAGAACAGGCTATGATACAGTAAATTCCATATGGTCATCAAAATAGTTTGATGCTTTGCCTTTGATTGGATGATGGACTTTAGTCTATTATTAATATTACCATCTTATTGGTTGATTTAATTGAATAATTTTCCTAATTGGTTAATAGGATTCACCTTATTTTTTTTCATTGTCAATTTATTTTAGTTGACATTTTATACTAAAGCAGGAGCATTAAATTTCATTTCAATTTTTTTCTGAGTCATCTATCACTTAGCGTTAACATGTACTATTTCCCAGTATCTTCGCAGCATCTCTCAGTACTCTATCTTCAAGATTTAAATTTCTAATATGAATTTTCTTTAAATCTACTTCTTCATATGTCCTAATCGATCATTGATCAGCCGTGTGGCTCCTCAATGGGTCTCTTGCTGACGGTGGTGGACAGCTGAAACTAAATCATATGATGTTGCATTACTTTTTTTCTTCTTCGCTGAAACTCATGAATGAGTATGCCGATCCTTTTCTTTGACTCCTGGTTTTTCTTGGATGAATGAAGACAGATAAATATAAAAGCTCAGTTAATGGATGATGATCAAATATTAGAAGTGAATTACGTACTGCAGAAATCTACTAGATCAAACATTTGGGAGGCTTAATTTCTACGACAAGTTCGAAAGAAATATTTGAAAAGAAAAGAAGTAGCAAAGTCCCATGAGATGAATCTTATAGCCAATCTTATAGAGAGAATCTTCTTCTTCGCCTTCTTCGCCGTCTCCTTCTTCTTGTCTTCTCCATGATCAGCACCAATAATCACTCTCGTACTTCTTTCTGCTTCTCGTTCTCTCACAGGCTCATCAGTAAGCCCTATTTTTGTTTCTGCTGCTTCTTGATCTTCTTTCGCAGGCTCATCATCAGTAGTAATAATCCCTCTTATTCTTTCTGTTTCTTGTTCTTTCACAGGCTCATTAGTAAGCCCTTTTGTGCTTTCTGCCTTTGCTTCTTCTTCCACAGCCTCATTGTCATGTACTTCAAGCTTCAGAAGTTTTCGACGTTGAGACAGTTTGTTCAGGAAAGAAAAGAATAGAAAAGGAAGAGATAAACTCAAATTGTTATTAATAAGCCTCCAGAAAGTCCTAATAGTACACGATAATAAAGAACAATAATCTAACACAGTAGCAGAAGGTGAAGGAAATCTACCACATCAGGAAGTAAATCACCAGACAATTCCAGATTCATCTTCTTGTTATCCTCCTCCTTTGTCATTCTCCAGGTCTCTCTCGTTCTTTCTTCTTTTTCTTCTCCTGCTGCCACAGGCTCATCAGTAAGACCTCCGGTTCTTTCTGCTTCTTCTTCTTCTCTCACAGACTCGTCATGATTATTAAGTTGTTTCGTTCTTTCTTCTTCTTTTTCATCAGAAACGGGAACTGGCATGTTGTTAGAATCCTCACTCGAATCAGCAGCCTCGCCTCCTGAGATCACTTCGCTCTTTTTGTCTTTTTCGGTGCATGATGATGATGTTGGGATCTCCATTGAAACGAAAATTGATAAAATAAGAGAAAAGTAGAGGAACTCGAGAAGAAGGCGAGTGAGCTAGTGATTAGTGTGAGGTTTATATAAAGAAGATAGAGATCAGTTTGTAGGAATCTTTATTTTGTATCAAGAAAGAATATACCGTGCAGGGTTCAGGCCACTGCCATCTCTAGCCGATTCAGTTATACCGTTTGTTTTGTGACTAATTACACTAATAATTGCAGCAAAAAGAAAAATAATTAATTGCCCACGCAAAATTCCTAAAATTATAGTAAAATTATTTTATTGAAATGAACAACGTGCTCAAAGAACTTGGGTTGTTTTACAGTTAAATATGCATGAGGAAGAAGATGATGGCCAAAAAAAAAAAAGGGATCTGGATCTCTCACTTGGTGAGTGTCTACATGGCAGCCTTAGGATTTTATCAACGTTTGAAAATTCATCCTTAATAAAACCGTGATATAAAGCGTGGTTTTATGAAAATAAATTTCAACCATTTCTCTGTGACCATACAAACCATTAGATTAAGGTACAAGGCACAACAAAACTTAGAATTGTGATTTGGTGTTCTCTTTGTATCTTGTGCCTACGTTTTCATATACAGTTGTTCAATTAAATCAATGACTTCTATAGTGCCATGCGAGACATTTATTGAATGAGAGGATTTGGAACATTTATTGAATGCTTTTTTTTTTTTAAAGGAAAACATAAAGAGTAGGCTCCATCAACAGTAGAGATTATTTTTCCCAAGGTACAGAAGGCAAATGATAGACCTCTTCCGACTAAATTACTACATACTCAAAAGTTGAAATTTGAGCTCCAACCACTTGCTTAAGTGACAAGAGTCTTTATTAAGTTGGTGTGAGTGGTAAGGGCTCTTGTTACTTAAACAAGTGATTGGAAGTTTGAATATTAACTTTTGTGTATTTTGTTAATAGAAGTTGGGAACAAATTTCTTTATAGTGATGCTGGGAAGATGATGAAAACTGCAGAATATATCTTATCTGCTCTTATTCCACTGAAAATTTTTAAACATGAAAAGACTAGCCATCATAGATTTCAAGCTAATCTAAGGATGAAGCACAATAAGAGACCTAAGGCCAAATATAGGAAATATCATGTAATCATTGAAGCCTGCCTTCAGGAAAAGTTGCTTCCATTCTTCTTCAGATCTTGCTTTTGAATTAAGATCAGCTGTCAAAATTATGTTGATTAAGAGCTTTGTTTCTAGCCATTCATGCTGGTCATGATTTTCATTCAGCACCATATCTATGATGAAAACTTTTCCTTCGTTTCCTTTGCTTGAGATAGCTTCCTTAGCATTTTTAAGTATCTTCATGCAATCCTCATCACCCCAGTCAAGTAAGACCCACTGTAAAAATTAAAATAGTAAGAAAAATATACAATAAATAATTTAACATGTATCCCTAGTGGTTCATTTTTTAATATTATAACAATAATATGCAATTTATAATGTTTAGCTACTTAACATTAATTGTACGAGATTGTAATAAAAGCCGACTTTTTTAAAATAATTTGCTTCAAATAAATTTATGTATATACTCCCTCCAGACTTTATTCTAAGGCATTTTCTAGAAAAAATTTTTTGTCCTTAATATAAGGCACTTAAGGGGTATATATTAATTACATTTTCTGAATATTACTCTTTTTTAAACTCATTAATTATGAGAGATAATCTAATGCAAATTTTTTAAATTTTTTTCATTTAAATAAATGTAAAATTAAAAGTTTATTCTATTTTCAGACAAAATTAATGAGTTAACCACATCTTCTTAAATCCGGTAAGGTAGTTAGAGATGCCTTAAAATAGATATTAGAGAGAGTATATGTCAAATAAAATTCATATCTAAGAATAACATATTTGATCTGAAAGAGAAAAAAAATGGAGATTTATGGATTTAAGTGGCTTAATGATTTTGTAGTTATATATATACATACCTTAATCAGCACTGCATCAGCATGAGGGATGGATTTGAGCATGTCCCCACCAACAAAACTCAAATTGGTGTTGCCAGATAAGTTTGAAACAACCTCCGGAAGATCAAGCACTGTGTAATTCAACTTTGGGAATGCTTCACAAATAATCTTAGCAGTGGTTCCATCTCCACCACCAACATCAACAACAGAACCCAATCCATCAAAAACAGATTCCAAGTTTCTGATCAGTGCCAGTTTCATGAATCTAGAATCACTAGCCATTGCTTCTTGCATAAATGCCATATCTGCTGGGTTTTGCTTCAGCAATTCATAAGGGGTTACACCAAATATTGTCTCTCTCAATGTGTTTTCCTTCCCACGAACCCATTTATCCAAGTGATGATGTGTATCAATTAAAGTAGGGTCAACTGCCAACAAAACCATTGGAGATAAACAATGGTCTGTGCTACTCACAAGAAGTTGTGATGCAGAAGTGAGATCATATGCTTCATCACTTTCTTCTTCTTCATTGTTGTTGCTTTTGATGATAGTGAAGATGCCATTGAGAGCCAGCAAGCGCATGAGCCCTTTCACAAGATAGCTTTAGAGGATGGAATACTGAGAGCTGACACCAACTGAGAAAGAGTGATGGGTTTTCCATGCTTGTGGATTATGTCTGGTATTTGAAGCTCAATGGCACACTTGAGAGATAAAGAAGGTATCCAAAGATACATGACCTTGTACAATTGGGCTTGGCCATTAAACAGCTCACTGATTTTGTTTCCAATTTCATCCATGGATGGAGAAGATGGAATTGCCAAATGAATTGTTGAGTTTTGATTCTTCATATCCAATTTGTGGAACTATTTATATACAGAAGTTTCAGTTCTTTATGGGGAATTGTGTTTTTGCAAAGTGTAAATATTTATTCATGTAATTAATTTTTAAGTGAATTGCTCAGATTTCGTTCATATATACAATCAGTTTGCTGCATATTCTTGGGAATTTTTTTTTTTTTTTGCCAGTATTATAAGATGAATCTAAACTTTTGTCCACAAGTTATGCAAAGTGTCCGTGTCATTGTATATGAGCGCTTTTAATTAAAACAGGAATAAAGTCTCTTTGAAAGTGAGGAAAATGACAGTTTCTAGATGTTTATCTTTTTTTTTTTTTTTTGCAAGTTTGTTTTCCAGTTTTGAGCCCTCAAACACTCAAAGTCTTCAAGGAAAGCTTCAAACTTCATTCTGCTCTTATTTTCTTCAGAATTAAACAGAATATTCTTGAGATTTAATTTGTTGAGATGATCCGAAGTTGAGTGTTGGTAATCTGACATGTTTGAGTTGTTGTTTGATTCATATATATTTGGGGAGTTAAATGAAATTTGTTTTTGGTTCTTCAATGAATTTAAACAATTGGAAATATAAATCTCACATTTTGGTTCAAACCCTAAGTTGTAAGAAGGGGGATTAATATCTCTTAATTAAGACTTAATTGAGGGGATCCAAATCCTATTCCTTTAAGATGCTTTTTGCTTTCATTAAATAGTTAAAATGAAGAAAAATTGTTCTCTTTGTATTCTATTTTGAGATCGATAGGTTTTATTAAATTAATTCACAGTTATACCAATAAAAGTTGATCTACTTGATAAGGAATTGGCCCATAATCTATAAAGTTATGAGATCAAGTCCATGTGAGGACTTTGTTTGTAGATAATTGCAAGTACATCCATAAGCATTCATTTTTTTGTTTTTAAAAACTACTCCCTCCATTTTAAATTATAAGATACTTTTAGACAAAATTTTATATATTAATAGACCTTATTAAACCTTAAAAACCTTATTTTTTCAAACAAAATTATGAATTTTTAAAAATATTCTTCATTTAATGACCTTAAATCTATACTTAATTAGTATTAAATAGAGAGAGAAAGGCTAATATTGGAATAAGTTTATTTAATGAAACTTTAATCATCTCAAAGCATCTCATATTTTAGGATAGCAAATCTCCACCAAAAGTGCCTTTTAATTTGAGATTGAGAGAGTATTTTGCAATATAGTTTTTAAAATTTTATTTTGAAATAAAACAAAAGGAAAATCCATTTAATTGTGTTAATGTAAAAAAAGTTTTAGAGGTAAAAAATTGGCCTAGAGTGATGGTCACCCGTAGTTAAGGGTGGCTAGTGATAGTAATTGATCAAGATAATTTTAGTTTTTGATAATCAAATGTAATGTATTTTGAGAAAAAAAATGAAAATAATTTTAAAATGTTACTGTTTTTTATTTTAAAAACAAAAAAATAGAAAAATTTAGAAACAATTAAATTCAAAACACTTATTCAAACCATTTTTTATTTTTTTGTTTTTAAAAACAAAGAATTATTTTTTAAAAAAAGAAACAAAACAAGCCTTATTTTTGGAAATTTCTTCTCCTAGTTTTCTCTTTTCTTTATTTTCTCCTCACTTTTCCTCTCATTAAAATCAATTGCCCAAGGGAAAACAATGATAAAAAAGGTCTTTTTCCTCTAGTTTTCTCCCCTAATTTCCCCCCTCTATATTTTCTTCACATTCCAAATAAAGCCTTACTAAGTGAAAATAATATTTTATTAAAATTTTATTTGTCTCCGAGTTTTCTTTCCTTCCTAATTTCCTTCCCGGTTAAAGTTTTAGGTCTAGTCAGGTTAAGCCATGTGCAAAGTAGGCCCAACCTAGGCCATGTGACATGCAAGTGGTTTGATGCACGCCCTTGTAAATTTTGACCTTGACTCTTGAGATTATTATGTTTTTTTTTTCTTTTGTTTCGAGAAATCAGACATTAAACTTATGAAATATTTTATTCTCCTTTTAATTTTATTTTTTAAAAGAATCTATTACGGATACAGCACCCTTTCCTATGCCATTTCAAAGTCAAGAACCAACAGTTGTGCGATAGAAACTGACAAAGATAATCAAATTAAGAAGATTGTTCAACACGTGAAGGATTATTGCATGGATGGTTTTGAATTTGATTTTGTCCTAATGCTGAGCATGATTGAGTAAATTAAATGAAAGAAAAAGAGGCATTAAGCACATTTTTTATGTAAGTATTATTTTTTTATAAGTAGAATAAGGTGTAATTTTCACTAACAATAGAGATTATCTCTTTCAAAATATTGTGAGCAAAGGTTAGACATCTCTCAACTAAGGAAACCAGCGTCAGTGTTTATCATACAGATGAGTACCGAGAGCTTATTTCCTTTAGACCATTCAAATATAATATACATGATCCAAATTTATAACTTTTATTTTTATTTTTAAAAAATATTTAAATGAATACTTCTAAAATATAGACACTTTATTAACTGTTAGCTTTTCCAAATAAATAATTTTATTTAAAAAACCCACTGAAAACTGTAAATGTAGAATATGAAAATTATATCTAAACAGTTTAAAAATAATAAACTCTCAGTGCTTACTCATATGATAAGCAGTAAAACTGGTTCTCCCGAGAAAGTTGGTACATACACAAGGTACTATTGTCGAGAAAGTTGATACATACACAAGGTACTATTGTCATTATGAAAGTATAGTCACTTTTCTATTCATTTAAATATATTCTCTTCATTTAAATCCTTACTACTAATGTGAGGGCTTAATTGATGTGCGATCTATAAACATCTCTATATATTAAAAATATATTCTCTTCACTATTCTACTCTTTCCCTTTTTTTTTTTACTTATTTCAAATTTTTTCCTCCCATTTTTCTCCTAATTTCAAAGAAAACATAACAGAAAAAAACAAAAAACAAAAATCAATCATGGTCCAACGACCTGTTTACCAATAAATTATTCTTTTTTTAAAAATAAAAAGACTGGACTATTGTGACCATGTGGACGATGATGAATTATTATATCTTTTTTTGTCCTTTTATATTGGTGATTGATTTGATTCCCTTTGATTAATTTAATTTTGTTTTGTGTGTGTGTGTGTGTGTGTGGTTAGAGTATGTAATATCGATGAAATAACCTTTTTATTAAAATTAAGTGTTTGCAGGAAATTATATTTATCAACTCGATTGGATATTTTACACAAATTTTAATGCATCATTATATAAATAAAATTGTTGATATATAGTTCCATGTTATAATTTATTAATTAAATTTTTTTTAGCAATTAAATTTAAGGAGCAATAAAGTCAAATATAAAGGATACTAACATTTGCATGGAGATCGTGAGATAAAATAACTAAAACAAACAGAGACATGTAATCAACTGTGTTTAAAAATGTTAACAAATCATATTTAATGTGTATAACTTGATGGTTTTTCTTACTATATGGGATACAATTAATATGGAAAATCACTTCCAAAATTTATTCTTAATTTTCCCATCTTGTTAAGAAATAAATTCGGGATCAATATATAAACATAAAAAAAAAAAAACACACACACACACACACACACAGACGCTAAATTCAATCACCTTGTTTTTAAGTCAAACTTTCATATGAATTAATGTCGGGTAATGTATAATGAAACAAGTTGATCTTTTCCTTTAAAACTTTATGAGAAACTAAATATCTTTCCCATACAATACACATTCCAAAGCTTATTGAAATATCCATGTACAAAACATTGGAAGAAGAATGAAAATAAGATCTCATTCTATCTCGTGTCTTCACATGTTTCAACAAATGTTTGAAAAGTTGATAACTCGTCCAAAAGTCTCATTAATTTATTATTCTAAAATTTATTATTATTTTTTTGATACAATGGCATTTTGGCAAGAGCATATGCGATTTTAAACTTATTTTTTTGTGTATTTTCACCACTAAACTTTTAAAATTGTGGCAATCTTCTTCTTACTATTAACTTTAATTATTAGTTGATTAGAAAATTATAAAAAATGACCTCAAATATTATAGAAAGAGATCAAAAGAATTACAAAAATATGATCAAAAAATTATAGGAAATGACTAAAAAAATAGAATTTATAACTTTTTGTCCTCATATGTGATTCTTTTTCTCTTTTTCTATATTTTTTTATGTTTTTTTTTTGTAATTTTTTAATCAATTAACAATCAGAGTTAATGGCAGGAGAGATTACCACAATTTTAAATGTTTATGAATAATAATGCACAAAAAACGAGTTCAAAATATCATATAATCATGGATCTATAGTTTAAGGGGTTAAATTATCATTTTAACCTTTTTTTTTATAAAAAAAAATGACAACTCATAAAAGAACTACGAGCCAGAAAGAAATAATGTCAGCTATATCCCAATCATGTGGACGATGGCATCGAAGTCTGGGTCCCATGTCTCACAAGCAAAACAGTATCCTTGTCATTCTCCATCGATCTTTATATAATTCTTTTCAGCTCCTCTTTATCATCAATTAGCAGTTTTTGTTAGTACCGAGTTTCTGCAATAATGAAGCTTGCATTCCTACCACTCGTTGTACTTCTCACAGTGAGCTTCTACTTAACTCCTTTCTTGTTTTTTCACCCTATTTTTTTCTTTTGACCAGTGAATGTATTTAATTTGTGTATATTATATAAATGAAATCACAGATTGCCCATGCTGCATTTCCTCCAGAACTTTACTGGAAATCCATGCTTCCCAGCACTCCCATGCCCAAATCTATCACAGATCTGCTCCACCCAGCTGGTTAGTATATTGTAGAGCTCATGTGTTTTTTCTTCTACCAAGTTAAAAATTCACATGATTTATCTTAATGTAGTATCAACCTATGAAAATTTAAATGTGGATTTGAGCCAAACTCATGATTTGGATCCATAAAAAATTTATGGAATCTAAATCTAAATCCATGATATATTATAATTTTCTTATAATTTTAAATTTTTTCCCTGGATCCTAGTTACTTGAAATTTTAGTTATTCCAACTCTCATTTTATTTACATTTTTATTATCAAAGCTTGTGTGGTTCTCACATCTTCTCTCATCCCTTGTTCTCATTTTTTGTTGATTAAAAAATACAAAAGGAAGCTCATCAGTCTCAATTTTATTACATGACAAACTAATCCCTGAATTATATGTCTAGAAGTGTTTGAGACCTTAAATCTACTTTGGTCCAATATTCTCCTTCAATTTTTAAAATAGTACAATAATGTCCTTACCATTAATAAATATTAACTTTCATTTTAGTTGATAAAAAAATTATAAAGAAAGACCTTGGGTCCTTGTCTTTAATTGTGGGCCTTTTTTGGCAAATTTTGTCATTTTTTAATAATTTTTTAAGTCCTTTTTTATAACTTTTGATCAACTAACAATCAAAATTAATTTTGTTAACAATAAAACATAACAACATTGTATTGTTTTTAAAAAATTAAAGAGAAACAATGTATAAAAAACAAGTTTAAGGTCTCATATATTTCTAGAGCTATAATTTAAAAGTGAAAATCCTTTTAGTCTTATTTTTAGTATATGAATTTTAAATATGAGATTTTAAATTTTAAATTTAAATTCAAATCTATCCATCTAAATAGTATGTCAATGCTTCTAATACTAAGGCAAATTTGCAATAATCCCGCAGGAGGCAGCAGAAGCACCGTACATAAGAAGCATGATTATGATGACTCAGATGCAACATTTGTAAAGTATGGTGGAGGAGTATTTATTATCTATGATGAGCCTGAGACCCAACTCCAACATAACCCTTTGGCATCTCTCTTCTTCTTAGAACAAGACTTGAAGCCTGGTCATGTCAAGAACTTGTTCCTCACGAAGACCTCTAACCAGGCCTCATTCCTGCCTCGTCAAGTTGTGGAATCCATTCCCTTTTCTTCTACCAAGGTATAGTGTTTGTGTTTATGCAGGCTTATATATACTGTTTAATGGCCTATTCTACTACACTAATAATTAGTTAAGATAAAACGAGAGATATTATTATGATATCATGTAATCATAATATGATATGTAATGTTGTAATTTTTTTATATTATTTTTATAACTGCAACATACTATAATGTCACTTGTTTTATTTAGAAGTTAATGGTGAAAGAAAAAAGGGAAAACAATATTAGGAGCTGAGACATTAAAAACCACAAACTCAATTATATTTCTTTTTTATATAATACAAGAAATAGTCTCTGTTGATAATGGAGATTATTTCTCCTGAAACAGGGCAAATAATAAACCTCTTCCAATTAAGTTATTACATGCATAGGTGCTGAAATTAACCCAATTATATTCTAAAAGTACAGATGTTTCTAAATCTTATATACATATAAGGCCTTATTTGGAATGGGAAAAAATATGGAAATCAAAGAAAATTACAAAAAAAAAACCTAAGAAAAAGATACTTTTCAACTTTTTCCCCCCTTATTTCGGGAAAAATCAAAGGATAAGCTTAATGTTAAGGAAAGAAAACGTTTTTTACTTTCACTTTTCTCTACTAGTAGTCTTTTTTTCCTATTCACCTTCCACTCCAAACAAACGTGTTCGCATTTGATGTAATTTATGTAATTATGATACATTGATACCAGGTGGATGAAATATTGAGGAAGTTTGCTGTGAAACTTGGATCAACAAAAGCTGAGACGATGAAGAATACAATTAAACTTGTGAAGAGCCAGGGCTTAAAGGAGAGGAGAAGTATTGTGCGACATCGCTGGAATCCATGGTTGATTTCATCACTTCCAAGCTTGGGAGACACGTGGAAGCTTTGTCTACAGAGGTGGGGAAGGAAACAAAGAGGCAAGAATACACAATAATGCAAGGAGTGAAGAAGGTAGGAGAGGAAAATATAGTGGCATGCCACAAGCTCAGTTATGTGCATGCTGTGTTTTATTGTCACAAAATAGAGACAAGAGCCTATACGGTGTCGTTGCAAGGAGCTGATGGGAGTAGAGTGCACGCAATGGCTATATGTCACACAGACACGTCAGATTGGAACCCAAAGCATTTGGCCTTTCAAGTACTAAAAGTGAAGCCAGGGAGTGTTCCTGTGTGTCACTTCCTTGCTCAAGAAACTGTTATGTGGGTTCCCAAACAAGCCTAAGCATCCATTTCAGCTGTGTGATCAGCTAGTATTACAGTAACCTCATCAAACTCATCATCTGCAAAAATGATCTATGAAGAGATTCTTCACTTCCATTCAGTCCTCCATCAATATTTCAAACATAAGCCAGTCAATGCACCACATAATTGAAACATAAATACCATAGTTGATAACTCAAAACATCACTAGCATAAATACCATGCAAGACAAAACATACATAGTTTTGTCAGCCAGTTTTTAACAAAGATCATTTATGGAGCGTAGAACTAACACAGAACAAGATGTAAAATAAATCACTTCTACCAAGTTGTAACTATAATATATAACGAAGAAAAGGTGGTACTAAGTTTTTTGGTGGGTTGTACGCCGCATGCTTCAAGAAGGCCAATAGCATTCTCCGGTTATCTTTAAGTGCTGAATAAATTGCCCATGCATCCTTATTCCTTAGGAGAGTACAACACCGTCCAAACCAATCATCATCATTTGCAATCTCCTCAATTTGACTGATTTCAGCAATAATTTCACCCATAGAGGAATCAGGTGTAAGAAGTGACTGTATAGAAGCTGTTTGTGACTCAAATGCATCAGATATTCGATTCAATGCATCAACTATTTCCCTCTTGACTGACAGTTTCTCCCTTTTCTTCTCTTTATTTCTCTCACCATGTTCACCTCTCTTCCGTTTCCTACTTGAATTGGTAACACCATTGTGTGCTCCAATATTGCTTAAATTAATTTGCTCAAGCTCAGAACCTTCTCCACCACTCATCCTATGAATTTCATCGTTGTCTCCTAATCCCTCTTGTAAGTTCATTTCAAGACTTTATGCAACAGCAGCCGCAAGCGTCCATATCTGTGACCTGTGTTGTGATATCGTTGAATAATTCAGTTAATTCATGAACAGAGGGAAGTGGTTTATATCTTAATTTCTTGTACGCCAGATTCTCCTACATGTATACAAGAAATCAGTATGAGGTATTTAAGGAAAATAATACCAAACATATATTGTGACAATTAAAATTTCATACCTTGATCTTTAAAATCACCCAAATGCAAGTATCATTGTACTATTTTATAATTAACACAAAATTACTGGATTGTATCCATCAACTGCCAAGCACCAACAAATGATAGCAAGCCAGAGTCACCTAATCTCAGATTATAACTATTAACCGCTACTTAAAGTTTGTTTGTTGTATAAAGGCCTGCTCACCTGAAACAAATAATTTATCTTCTCCTTCCATCTAAACCTAAGTGATACACCACTGGGCACAAAAGGAAGGAGTGCAGTAATATCAACACACTAATAGGTTTGAAAGAGAAGCAGAGTCGTCCATCCAGTCACCTTCGACTATATACATATATGCATTGCTGGGTGGGGGTTTATGGAAAAAAATGAAAATTGTTACGCAGAAAACTGGTTCTCTGGGAGTCAACTCTCTGTACTCAACAAGAACGTGTGTTGCTTAACTCTATGAATATCTACTTGCTTGGACTGATCATTAGACCCCAAAGGCAAGCAGAACCCAGTAATATGGGCAAACTTGTAAGCAGATTTTCAGGGCAGGAATGATTCCTCCCCTGCTGAACATCGGTTCCCTGGGCATTCTATCGTGCAATCAAACAATTTCTAAGCATTTTCCATACTTCCAATATTTTAAACTTCTCTCTTCTGACGCCATCTATTTGCTGTGTTTGCACCTTGCATCTTGTAAGTGTTTGGGTGTAGCAGCAACTGCCCTCCTAGGCTCCAGCATCATAGAGGTATTTATAACGTTGCTCTCCCTTGTATATCCATTTAATTGTGTACCTTTCTTCGGTTTCTTCAACTTAAAAGCCTAATACTTAAGTAATTCAACCCAGTCACCTATTCACAAACCAAAAAAAAAAAAAAAAAACAAAACAAAACAAAACAAAAACAAAAACAAAGAAAGAAAAACAAAAACAAGCAAATAGGGTAAACTGATAGTGCGTATAACGACTTTCCTTGAATCCCCAAAAATGGACCATGAATTCTGCAAAAATTTACCACCCACAAATCAAAATTGCATGACGAGCATTATACATGAAGCCTTAATTAGACTTCACCATTGACGACATGAAATAGAAGCCAACAGCATAAAAATCCAGTGGACATACCCAACCCAAGTACGAATCGATCAACATCAATACAATAATCAGATCTGTGTCTAAAAAAAAAAAAAAAAACACACTGAGATCCGTGTGTTGCGATTACACCTGGTTTCAATCCGAGGAAATGTCGTCATTAAAAATAGACCATAATCCTCTCCCGCATTTTTCACACGCATTCTCAGTGCATTTTATTGGGCTAGAAGAATCGACATCATTCAATAGCCCTGAAGCGAACAGAGGAAAGAACCCTAAATAAACACACTGGAAATTTGAATGCTTCAGCGAACATCAAAGAAGAACAACAACAAAAATTAAAAAATATTCAGAACCAGCAGCAGCGACCAACAGACATCAACGATCAAATTTTTTTAAGAAAACAAATTTCGGCCACCTACAACAGAATCAGCAAGGATCTTCGACGAAGGGAAAGAACGGAAAATTTCATAACATCAATCAGATCACAACTATAGCATCATTTACCTCACACTTTAGGCGAAGGGGAAGTCAATCTGAAGCAGAAAGGAAGAGATTGGCGGCGGCGTGTGCGACGTCGCGTGAGATGTGCGCAAAAGGGAGGGTAAGGGGTGTCGGGGGCAACAGGGGGCTGTATGGGAAAATTGTCTTTAGAAAAAAAAATCTCTGCAACCCAGCTTACAAATCTTAACATGTTAATATAAATTCATGTTTAATTGTTAACCAACCATGTTAATATTTAGGATCTGTTTGGTTAAAGCACAGAGGAGAAGAGAAATTTTAATGGAAGAGAGAAAAAGGAAAAGAGTTTTAATGAAAGGGAGGGATGATATTTTATTTAATCCAGAAGAAGAGGAAAGGATAAATAAATAAATAAATAAATAAATATATATATATATATATATATATATATAATTTTACCCTTATATAAGTAAGATTGTTTTTCCTAATAAAATACAGTTATAAATATTTTTAATATATAATTATAAGTAAATAATTATCCATAGTACATATATATATTGCCAATAATATATTTAATAATAATTTATTCAAAGTTTTTAAATCAAAGGTACGAGCAAGCATTAAGTTTATCAACCAAAAAAAAAAAGAATAACAAAACATGAGGAAAAAAAATAGAAGAACAGCAAAAATTAAATAAAAGGAGGGGAAAAAAATGACTATACAAGTTAGGAGAAAGAATGCAATTTGAACAAAGGGGCACATAATAACAAAGAGAAAAATACTTTTGAATTATCATATTATAAAAAAAGTAAATTAATCCAATATAATAAAATTACACACCTTCCCTCCTCATCCCCCTTATTTTGGAAGGGAGGGGAGGGCCTTCCATTTTTACAAATTAACAAAATAAGGAGAGGGGAAAAAAACTATCTTTCCCTGCCTCCAAATCAAACATACTCTAAAGAAAAATATAGCATTGATTATTAGAGAGGAATATAAATTTAATAATTGTCTCTATTGTATACAAGTTCTACCATAGCCTTCCAGACCTAACATGATTAATCGCCAATAAAACAAATAGTTAGCCATTAATAACACAAAAAACATATATACAAACTTTAGTATTGCATTACATATTCACCTCAAAAAATGCACCAAAAAGATGTTTAGGAATAGGCCTTTCAGAATTATTCAAGATCAATGCTTCCATTTCCTTCTATGAGTGCTCACAAATTTATATAACATTGGCTTGGACCAAAGTATAGACTTGTTATTGTTGACGAGCATGTTATTGGAGTAATATTAGTATTGACAACAAATTTAAAGCAAAAAAAAAAAAAAAAAACTTTGGTTGCCGAACTTGGAATATCCAAATTCCAATAAGTTCTCCAATAACTACAAAAAAGAATTATGGAAGTGAATGTAAACTATATTACTTCAAACTGGTTTTTGATAGAATTCATATGGAATATAAATGACTTCGGAATAATGACAGAGCTTAAATCTATCTTAAGAAATTTCACTGGCTTCTCTTGGACATCTAGAAGTACATTATGTCTCATGATCTTAAAATTTGCAAACATCGTGAGCCTTTTTATTTTTGAGTTCCTATTTTTCTTCAGGGAAGCAAAATTAATTATTCGCATGCTTCATGTTTTAACTTTTTTTTTTTGGTTAAGCGATTTATTGTACTTTCTTTAAAATCAATTCAGTAATATATGTTTACCATTATTTTCCTCTTTCTTATTTAAAAATATTTGTATAATCACAACATGTTTCACTATGATTCAATCATAGTATGAACATAAAATAGTAAACTAATGTATCAAACAATTGGATAATGAGTTCACTTTTTAATACAACTGTTATTCCTTATCACTTTTCTTCCAATTCTGCTTGGCTTTATAGAATCTGAACACAAACCCGAAGATGGAAAATGCCAATAAGACTACACATTACACATGTGTAGAATTTTTAAAAGGAAAAAATAACAAGAAAGAAAATTCATCTACCCCTTCCAACATCAATGTTCGGCAAGCCTAAATTGTTTTAATTTGAATTTGGAAAATTGAGTTTTTCATATTTTAAAATTGTGAACAACCTCGAGAGCATTTACTCTTCTCTGGATTTTTATTTTATAATATATGGGTTGACTTCTTTCTCCTTGCTTTTGATAAAATAATATTTTTTCTTAAAAAAGAAATGAAACTTTTAAAAATTTAAGGATGATTGTTATATCTTTTAAATTTAATAGTATTCTTTTAAAAAAGCTCTGCAATACTCTAATTATTTTTTGATGCACTTATCATATGGTCAGTAAGAGCACTTTTAAGGATACAACCAAACACAAAGTAACTGCCGGTTTCTATAACATTTATGTCTAACAAATAATTTTTGAGAAAATATATAAAAATTTGAAATCTCATAAAAATGATTTATTTTATTTTTTTTTCAAATAATTAGTCACATAACATTATTTTCTTCCTCGTCATGAGGAATAAAAAGACAAATTACGTTGAATGATGGCACGATATTCGAGAAGGCAAAGATTCATGAGTATAAGCTTGGAAAGCAGTAATTGCAAAGGTAAAGTGTAAATAACTCTATACATACAAAAAAGTTTAAATAACTCACACGCTTAACTACTAGATTGATGCTTTACATTGGATAGCAAATGAACAGAAAAAACACACACACACACACATGTTGTCTTATAACCTTCGCATTGACATACTCTAGTTCTGCCCATCATGTGAACAATTTCATGTACTTTTCAAGTTTGTCGATCATTTCAGAAATTCAAATGAAGCCATTGAATTTGGAGGAAGTACAACAGTCATATTAGGACGACGATTCTCAAGTAGATCCACTTACGGTACAACCTACACATTTGAGGCATGAAAACTTGTAGAAGAGGATGACTTTGGAATGAGCATGATTCGAATGCGTGGTCTTGGTTATGGAGTTAATATTTTGCAACCGTGGCCATCGCGTTGCATAAAATTTAAGAAAAGAACCACAATATTCAAGAACTGTGGATAGCGTGGCTCGTTGATTATTTTATCTCTTTATTTTGCATCGTTAAAAGTGTTTATGGTTTACTTATAAATGAAAAATGAAACTATATCTAAAATACCATAAGTTTTACCTTCTTGGGATTATAAAAGGAATTCTCATCCTTGACATTAGTAGATGTAAGCAATGTAAAAGTTGATCCAGAAAGATTTGCATTCAAGTCCAAGCCGTCAATTGTAATGCCAAGAGTCACCATCTTGTCATCAAAGTTCAGAACCTATAGAAATATTTGGGATTTGAAATGAATATATGCCCATTTAGTGTTCGATTAACTCAAGCACGATGGATCATCCATGCATTACCTTGATTCTCAAATAACTCTTTTGGTTCTCATGATTTTCCCAAACAATTGCCGATGCAACAATGGAAGTTGGGGTTTCAAGTGTTGAGTTAACATGTGTAGCTCCACTTAACTGTGAGAAGAGTTGTTGTAACCAATAGCTTGGAATTACATAACTCCGGTTTGAATCAAATACAATAGTGTCTGGTATTCACCTATAAACCCACATAGAATCATACAATCTCAATCTCATACTATACAAATTTATAAATACATTAAAAAAAGAAGCTCAAAAAGAAAATAATTGGATGTGTTGCTTTTTGTCGTTTATATTTTCAAAAAGTGGCGCATAGCAGACCATTCCCACAACATCACTGCATCACAGCAAGACAGGATATTCATCAGCATGTGAGCGTTATGTAAGTTGTAAACTGACTAAGCAAGATCCTTAAGAAAATTTGACAATCAAGAGAATAATGAACCTGTTCTTTTCCAACCCCATAAGGAATGAAGCTTCACCCAAGGCAGACATGAGGGTTCCATATCCAGCATCTTCTTGCCAAATAGCATTCTCACTTACGAATGCTTTGGGGCTAGCACAATTCAAAGAATCAAATTTGTTATACATTGAGATGATACCCCTAGAGCTTGTATAAACATGGAAATCAAACAAGTTTGCTGGATAATCTAATGGAGCAACAGTAGCATCACAGTTCAAGATCATTTGAATACCAACATAGTAATGCTTTATGGCATTATAGAACTTAAGGAAATTTCCTAGGTAGTTATACATCCCACAATCCTCTTTTCCAATAGTAATGTATCGTAGCTTGAAAGGTCCAGGGTGTCCTAAAGAAGCCCTTATCTTGCCCCCTTTTGGATGTGAGAGGACCTCTTACGAACTCAATCCCTTCTAGAGCTTCCTGTAAACATTAAAGCAAAACAAAATTCTACAATACATTATTTCAAATAAAACATCATATTATTCAGGAGCTCAACTCTTTCAAGCCAGTAGACAAAATATATAACAAAAAAAAGACCATAGTTATAATCTATGTAGAGCACCTAGCCATACTTTTCAAAATTAAAATAGTAAGCATTTATAATATAATCAAAAGAGGAAATTTTAATCTATTCTCCACCCAGCACGTCTGAAAGCTCTCAAGAGTCAATAGGAGGACCGGCGTCAACTAAGGTAATGAGGCCAAAAATAATTTTTCAATAAATAATGTCTTAACAATAAATAATTGAATATGAATAAAAGAAAAATTTGAACTAATCATGTAAGTTAAAGAGACAAGGATTTCCATAAAAAATTAATGAACTTCAAAATAAAATGGCTCTATATAACTTTAAATAAAATTTTAAACCATTAAACTATCATAACAAATGTTATTATCACTTGATTTCAAGAAAGCACATAAACAAATAAATAGCTATAAAAAATACTGATTAAAATTAATGGAATGTAAAATCACCAAACAATCAAATTTAAAATTATAGGGACTTATTAAAATAATTAACAAATGTGGACACACAATCTATAAGAAAAAATAACCAAACGTGGCTTATGCCACGAAAAAAAAACATGACACACAATCTACAAGGGTGAGTAACCAAATACAATCCAAAGCCATGAAGATAAACATAGACACACAATCTATAAGGTTAAGTAACCAATCATAGCTCGAAGTCCTGAAAAACAAATGCAGGTATTAAACCTATTAAAAACAAACACGAAAATAAAACTCACAAAAATCAAACTAACTAGTCATTGATCACATCATTTTCATCAACCTCTATTTCCTCTCCATTTTAACCATAAAAAATATCTCCCTCCTCTGTCCAAGTGATTGTGTGAGTGTTCAAGTCTCTTTTCACTACTGCAAAATACCCCCTTACTTG